ATGTCCCTCCTCTGACTACCCACTGTCTTCCACCACCCTCTCAACCTCCTTACCAAGGCCTCTCTTACTAGTTCTGGGACAGCCCAGACTCCAGCCCCCATCCTTCCTCTCTGAGAGGTGGCCAGGCCTGAGGGCATTGTCCGGGTACACATCCCATTTTCCATGTCCAACCTCACACAGATTGAGAGGTGTCTCAGGTCTTTTTCCATAGACCCCGCCACCTTTACTAAGGGATTTGAGTACCTGACCCACTCCTGTGACCTGACCTGGTACAACATCTGTGTCATCCTGTCCTCCTCTCTAAGCCTAGAGGAGAAAGCACGTCTGGCGAGCAGCTTGGGACCATGGCAGTGCCCTCCATGGACATGATGCAGTGGCCCACCTGGTTGGTGCTGATGCGGCCCCCCAAACTGACCGAAGATGGGACTATCAGGTCAAGTCTCCAGAGTGTCAGCTCTGTAGCCATATCATCCTCTGTCTCATTGCCAGACTCAAAAAGGCTGCCCATAAGGCAGTCAACTATGACAAGCTTAAGATCACTGATGGCCCTGACGAAAACCCAGCTCTCTTCCTCTCCCACCTCACAGAAATTTACAACCCTAGATCCCACTTGCCCAGAGGGAACCCTTCTTCTAAACACCCATTTTATATCTCAATCAGCCCCTGACATACACCGAAAACTCTGAAAATGGATACCCATTCACAAGCCCCTCAAAAAGATCTCCTTAACCTGGCCTTGAAGGTCTGTAATAATAGAGACGAGGAGACCCAAATCCAAAACAAAAGTGAGATCAGGTCAAGGCTGAGGCCCAGAAGGAGGCCTTTCAGTTCCTAGCCACCGCTCTCACAAACCCCAAACAAAATGCTGATCCTCCAACCAAGGGTGAGACAGGGGCTAAGCCTCCTCTGGGCCCATGCTTCAAGATCCTCCCACCTGGGCCCTGCCCAAGGTGCTGAGGGGAAGCCCACTGAAAATCCAGGTTAGGCAGCTTAGACCCCTGACCTTTTCCTCCCTAAAGACAACCTCTAGGCCTCAGTTGTATTTTAGCGCCAGGCCCAGAGAAGCAGCATAACCAGACAAGTGACACTGTGGCAGCCTCAGGAGCAGCTTTTACCTCCCAATCACTCAACAGGATCACTTTCAAGCCTTCACCCACCAGTCTCTTGGGGCAATCCTGCTGATGCGACCCCTTGCTCCAACCAGGAGGAATGTGTACAGTGTTCCAGCCGACTACAATCAAAGTCCATCCCCCTCTGATCTCCACGTCCCCCCTCAGCAGTAAGTAACTACGGAAGATAAGACCTTCATCTCTATTCTACAAAACAAAAAGGCTGGAATGTTAAGTCTGATCAAATAATTGTATCGATATCCCTCACCTGGGACCTGACCTTTAGACCACTTCACAATGGACATTCCCTTTTGCTTAGAACAAAATTTCACTTGCTAAGACCACATTACACTTGCTAAGACCATTATCTTTCCCCCCAGGACCCGCCCAGAGAATTCTCTACCCAGAAAAAGCCTGCCTAGAGTCCTTTAAAACCTCTGACTCCCTGGCTTTAGGAGCTGGCATCATTTTGGGGCTCAGCCCATCTGGTATCCAGATGACCTAATAAGCTCATAATTCTTTACCCCTTTTCGCATCATGCATTCCTCCTTCAGTGACCCTAATATACAACAACCCAGCTCTCCAAAACCCATCCTTTTGGGAGTTTGTGGCAGCTTTATTAAATTACTAGCCATTGGTGACAGATTCAATCTTCAGCCCCTCCTCTCCCCCAAGGTGAGGGGTGGGACTGAAATTTTCAACCCTCTAATCACTGGTTAGTTCCCCTGATGTGCAGCTCCATCCTTCAGGGCTTTACAGAATCACCTCATTCATAAACAAAGACATCTTTATGACTCTTATCACAGGAAATTCTAAGGATTTTAAGAGCTTTATTTGAGGTGAAGCTCATATATATATATAATAAATCACAATGTCACAACCACAATGATTTCAAATTGACCTCTTACTAGTGATACCAACTAATATATGAGTCCATCTGCCTGTGCACACAGGCCAAAATAAATGCACAAGCGGGAGTTTGCAGTGTAGAATGGAAGACATTTAATATTAAATTGGCCAATCCAAAGATGGGGAGCTAGTGCTATGAAAGACTCCACTCCCTGATGGAGTGAAGGTTCCAGATTATATAGGGCAAAATCACAAGACACCATGGGTTAGGGCAGTGGTTCTCAACCTTCTGGCCCTTTAAAAACAGTTCCTCATGTTGTGACCCAACCATAAAATTATTTTCATTGCTACTTCATAACTGTAATGTTGCTACTGTTATGAATTGTAATGTAAATATCTGATATACAGGATGGTCTTAGGCGACCCCTATGAAAGGGTCGTTTGACCACCAAAGGGGTCGCGACCCACAGGTTGAGAACCGCTGGGTTAGGGGGTTGAGGTTATACTTGGAACTGATTGGTTGTGTTGGCAGTGAAAACAGAATCAGGTGTTAGACTGGTGGAGTCAGATTGAATCTTGGTTCAGCAACCTCAGTACTTGAGTTCTGGAGAAAGGTAATGATAGCACGAGGGGATGGGATATTAGCAGAATACTCATCAGATTTCCAGGTCTCCACTGATTGGTTGGTACCAGGGCATTGGTCACTAGTCAATCCAGGTGGTCCTGAGGCAGCCATGGCATGGCTTGTATGATTTTGCTGCTTTTCTGGACCTGGAGCTGAGAAGCAACTAAGGCCTAGAGGTATTTGATGTGGGTCAGAAACTCATTGTCCTGGGTGCTCAATGCTTAAGGGCTACTCTCCAGCTCCCCAGCTCCACCTCCAAGGCGGGGAGGAATCTACTACATGAGTAGTGACAGGCCAGGGGAGGAAAGGTCAGGGAGGGTCTGAGCCACATGACCAGCTTTATGCTAGAGGAGGAAAGATTACCCTGAAGCCAGGTCCTTATTTTCCCAGTTTTGCCAGTTGTTAGGCACCCAGGGCTTTCTGCCCTGTGTCCTTCTGTACCCTGCCTCTATAGTCTTTGCTCTGCTCATGTCTAATTGTCTACCACAGGTTTGCCAGTCTCATTTATGACTCCCAATTGGTGGATTTTTAAGTCTATATCTGATTTTTAAAAACTCATAAAACCAAAAAGCAGTACTTTGAAAGGTTTTGCACTTGTATGGTGTGACCGCTGCATCCATTTGCAGCTAGGGTTCAAGGTCTGGAGAAGGGGCTGTGCACAAATGGATATACTAGACAAGAAATATAAATTTAGAATGCATGGGGGAGCCAGGCAGAGGCTTCATTCTAGCAGAGAAGCTCTCTGACTTCTCCATCCCTTTACTTTTTATTTACTAGAATACACATTTGCCCTTTAGCAAAGCAAACAGACATATAAATGGCAAAGTTTGGTAAACAATAAAAGAATTATCAGGTTAGGGGATTGCCTTTAGCCATTCAGCCAGCAGCAGGCAATATTATGCTGATTTTCAGCCCTTGCTGAATACCAAAGTCCATCAGCCTTCTAATGGACTTCTCACATTTGTATGTTAACTGCTTATTGGTCTTAGCCTCCAGCAGTGTGGGAGAGTAAATTCATTTTTTAAAAGTTTAAAAATCACATAGTAAGTGCCATGCAGATTATTTTAGTCTCATAATGTATTCTTTTTTAAAAACGTTTTTCTTATTGATTTTAGAGAGGGAGAGGGATAGAGATAAAAACTTGAGAGGAAAAAACATGGATTGATTGCCCCCTACTGGAGATGCGCACGTGCCCTGATTGGGAATAGAACTGGGGACCTCTTGGTTCCTGGGTCCACGCTCAATCACTGAGCCACCAGCCCAGCCCGTGATTTTTTTTTTTTTAAACTGGGTGCTTGGTTGTGTTCAAAGGAAACAGATTGTTCCTCCCCGAAACTTTTTCGTTTTTCCTAAAGAAAAGCTAACGAATATCCAGGGGCCAGTATCCGTGGGACGTCCTAGATATTCTGAATCAATGAACTGTCCTCACTGGGGGCAGCGCGAACAGTTCACTGGAGGAGGGTCGCGCTGGGGGTGAGGGGCGCGCAAAACCGTGGTTCTAGGGACAGGCGCGCAGACCATTTTCAGCACTTCCTCCTGCCCCGCGAGCACGGCGCACTGCGCGTGCGTGCGCGTGGTTGGGGGAGGGGTTGCTGTCGTGTGTGGCAGGCGTGGGGTGCTTGCCGCTCAGGTCCTAGCAGCTGACAAAAGACTTTTAAATACTCTCCAAATAATAAAACTTGGCTTCTCTCTCGCCCATGAGCCATTTATGGGGGAAGCGAAAATCCCTGTATGATTTCGGGGTGCGACAAAGTGGGTGACCCACCGGCCAGAGTGAAGCGCTCCGTTGACAGGACCCGCGGGTGGCGTACACCACTGCCAGGACCGTGCGTGCAGCGTCCTGTCGTTCCCGCCCTGTGCATCCTGGTCGGCATCCTTGTTTCGGTCCAGCGCAACGTCTGCGCTTTCCGTCTGCGCCCCTATCC